CCGAATTTGTTAACACCCTATGCTTAGAAAAAGACACAGAGGGTTAATCATTTATCTATTAAAGTGATATACAAAAATTCAGCTCACTGACTATTAACAATATATTCGTGAGATAAAAACTGTAGAAATGGTATTACTTACAGAAATCGGGCAAAGTTCTCTCGCTGATATTGCATTATATTATGATACTACTTTTCCAGGACTAATCTCATCAACATTACCTTACGACCCGGCTACTGTGAATTTAGTGTATTTGATATTTTAGGACACAGTTCTCAAACCTACTTTGGACAACGTCTACGTTAAAAATTAATAAATCTAGAGCAACCATCCCTAATGCTTAGTTTACTAGACTAGAGCATGCTAATCGTTTCAGCAGGTCACCACTTTGGTCTTGGTAAGAAAAAAGGAGATCTTTCCGTGAGCATGGTGTTCAGTGCGGGTAGCGGTCAGTGCTCCATATACGTGGTATGTGTACGTGTCCATGTACGAGTACTTGTATTTTTTAAATATAGAATAAGGGTGAAAAACGAGCTTACAGTCCACCTGATAGTCCTATCCTCAATAAGGAATCAAAAACAGAATCGTTGTCACCCCTGAGGACAAAGACGGATTGCATTAATACCAATAAAAGGATCTGCTGTTCTCGACACCTACTTTACGACCAACAGCAGCATTAAGCGTTATTGTGTGAGAGCGTGATCCTTCCACAGTCGAGCCGACCCATTCATTCTGCAACTGCACCCGCAGTGTGGTTCTTCCACATACTAATTATATTATTGTCTGTTGAAACTAAGAGACTGAATTAGTGACAATGAAGAAAGAAATGGTCCAGCGATCGAGTCTGCTGGAGCGATGCAGCATTTTGGGGCAGCCTGGAAATCGGCCGCTGCTGGTCGCCTAAGCTTGCTCAGGTCGCAGACATTTACACCTCACTGTACACTACTCGCCATCCACTATTACACACACTCACGGTCTGCCCAAGCCTTGGTGCGAAGTTGGCTTCGGATAATGGTAAGTACTATGTGTTTCTAGCTTTTTCCAATATAGTTTATTGTGAGAGAACATATTCCACGCGGCCATATTGAGGCCCGACCTACGTCTGCTCGTGAAGTCTCCGTTGATGGGCCCCGGATGATTGAACCTTTGGAGGAGCAGCCTTAGGCCGTAACATTGTCATATAATTACATTTATTCAATTAAATTTTACTTGAAGTAATGTAATTTTCATCAGTAATTTTACAACAGTGTTACAAATAAGGACAATTCACCTTGTCACCTATCGTTTTAAGAATGTCGTTCGGTTAAACCTCACCCACTTTACGTTTATTTCGTAAAGTTCAATATCTAAATTAAACAAAGACGGTTGTGATGGCGCGAGATAGAAACAATGCGGTTGGTTTTGTGTCTTCTGAACTTATGTAAACCCCGTTAACACAAGAGTGCACATGCCAAAGGCATAAAGGCGGTAGATAGGAAAACCGGAAATGGGCTTTGCGGTACTCTTATATTTAAAAAAAAAACGTTACCCCCACACTAGGATTTTCTCCTGTATCGTGGAGGCAGTTTACAAACACAAACTGCACAAGGACAAACATCCAGACCTGGAACAATTATTTATAGGTCATATAAATACTTGTTCCTTGCGGGATTCGAACCCGCGGCCCCCAGCGCAGCAACTCATTGGTAAGCCACTGCGCCACGGAGCCGTAAATTGGATAATTATTAACGAATCACATATCAGTTAGGATGTAGTGTGAAGAGGCGCGAACACATGTGTAAAAATCCCAAAAATAGCCACTAGGAAACTCAGCTATCAATTAGCAGTAGGAGTCAAAAAGCATCGCATATTATGTAAAGAGATCTAATGTACTATTTGAACTAAATATTTACAACGCGATATTAACCTTTGACTACCGTAGTGATGAATTTGTCACATATATGGCGTGGTGGCGTCTGACAGACGTAATATTTGAAGGGAAATTTCTAAAATACATCTTATCTTAGCCTTTTGCTGATTCTGCAAATTTAACATATATTATATTTTCAAATAAAACAAATAAAAATATTGAACACAAATTTTATTCATAACGTAATTATGTAACTTATATTGAGTGAGATCAATATTTTAATTTTTTGTAGAGACTATAATAACATCACAATAAATCCGTGGTATAAATTAGTAACTCTCCTTAACTTTGTTTATCTAATACCTAAAAGTCTAAATAACGAGATTCATTCATAAATAGCAGCCTTCAATTTACTTTTAACAAATCACAAGGGTCAAAGTAACCATCTTTATAACTATTTCTTCATCTAAATAAATAAATCTAAATCTTATATTTTTTAATATAGTCAGTCTATTATAAATACCTTTCTAGTTTGATAGAAAAAACCCTTAATTTATTTTTTAACAAAACTGAAATTAGATATTTCTTACTTGCAGTCATTGCAAATCTGACTGCAGCACCTAAGGTACATTGGCTTAGCGCAGACACAACAAAAATACTTTGTTCGCCTTCTCATCTTACTAGGGCATGTGGCACATGTTTTTCGAACTTCAAGGGCAAGTGGCGCTGAAGTTAAGGGAGTAGGGGGCATATCATCTTTTCCTATTATTCTTTGAATGGTGCATCTCAGTTCTCTGGGAATTTTGACGTGCTTCAGATAACACTAAGGTATTATCGAAGGAAGGAACTTGTTCTTGATCAGTGCTCATGTCAGGGATATCCTCAATTTCTAACTCCGAATGCTCCGAATCCGTCTCTTCGCCTTCTTCCAATATATAGTTTGGGTCGGCCCCACTGTCATCAGACTGGCTATAATCTGAATCTGTTTCTTCCCCTTCGATTACGTCACGAACAGTGTCTCCTAAATTTTCAACAGAAATATGTTGCGCGTTTCGATCACGCTGATATTTCCGTTTTCTTGAAGTTGATGCCTGAGATTCCGACATCTAAAAACATTAAAAAATAATTATTGCATATCTACCGAAATGACGACTACGAAACGTTTAGTAAAAAAATACATAAGCACTGTGCAGGCGTCTTTCAGACACAAATAGAAAATAAAATAAGTACCGAACTTACGTCTGTGAGACGTCAACTGCAGCGTGGCGGGAAACCTGTGCACCTCGCGTGCTCTTGCGTTAAACTGCGGAATAGTGCAAGGGTACCGCGAGAAGGCATGGCAACGTCTGACAGACGCCACTACGGCAATTAAAGGTTAATAGCACTAGCTTTGGACACAACGACATCTAGTAAAATAAAAATAATATTGTAAATATTGGTAAATCCAATTTTGCATGCCTTACGCGTACGTATTTTTTTTTAAAGTTTAGTCAAACACAAGTTTTCACTAAAAACCTTATAATTATTACCATACGTCAAATTTTCCGATCATTTTATGTCAAATTTCAATTTACAAAAAAAGCTTGGAAAATCAAAAATGCACTACTCATAATGCTCATAAATGATTGTGAAAAATTTAAAAAATGTAAATTGTGGTTCTATTCTTCAAAGAGTTCCAGTAGCAGTCACCGAAGTACACTTTTAAGTCCCTCTATCAAGTCCGGAGATAAAGTCTTATCACAACTAACAAAACGAGGCCAAACTCGGCACAAGTCACTCTATCAAGTCCAGAAGTAAGGTCTCATCATAACTAACAAAAGGAGCCTAAACTTGGCACATATAGTTCTCCTCGTAGGTGAGTTCCAGTATCAGATACCGATGTATTTTTCAGGTCTATAAAGTCCAAGACATATAAGTATATTTACATATAAATTCTGCGTGCTTTTAGGGAAACAAAATATTGTAATAAAAATCTGTGATTATAAAAATAATAATAATATCTTACCTTGGTCAATTATGTATGAATTTTAGTTTTTGGAATATTTTGAACTTCTACGGCAATCTTTTTCGCTGCAAGCAAGCGATACAATATCCACTCACAACAGCAGCCGAGGCCGGAATGACGAATGACGGAGTGAAACAGTGTATTTAATAAAATAAATTAATACAAGGCTCACAAACCACAGAAAAATTCGCCATTTTTAGCCGAAAAAAAATAATTATAACTAAACAAAAGAAAATTAAACTCCCATTTACATTTCATGACGTCCGATATGATAGATGAAGAGTTTTAAAAATATATTGAGTTGAACAATTTATATTTTCAAAAGTTATCGTGCTTACGAAGCCATGCAGACTTGATAAATCCACACTATTAGTCACTAAAACTCGTTTTTTAAGTAAAAATAGCAATTGATTGATTTAAAAAAAATTATTAATAAGTTCAACAATCATTTATCTTTCTGAAAATCTACTTCTTATATCATTTATGTGTATAATATGATTGCTAGATACGATTTCATACGACAAAAGGTTGGAATCTCAATTTTTAGGCCCTAGCAGAACATACCTGCGCGCTTTGCACTTACGGCATGCAACAAAGAAATTGACATATTTCATACAACCTGATTTCGGTAAAAAATCATCTTCAGTGACGAGGCTCATTTCTGATTGAGTGGTTTTCTTAACAAAAATAAATTATGGATTTGGATTTGAATCGACGAAAATCTACTGAAAGAGGACGGGGGATTTATTAGGTGCCTATAAACTCCGAAAAAGTGACTGTTTGTTGTGAATTTCGGCCCGGGGGGTATCATCGGCCCTTATTTCTTCTAGGAAGGCCGCGCTAACTATCAATGGCGATTGACATCGGACGATAATTACAATTTTTTGTGGCCTAGGGTAGATAGTATAGGCCTCACAAATATCCGCTTTACATTTACTTCTAAAACGCAAAGTCGCAAATTTTTAGTGAGTGGGTGAAAGTAGGAATCCATAGGAGAAGACAAAAGTTATATGACCTTTACAATGAAAGATTATATCGGGTGTCTCAGTAAGAGTGCATTTTTTAAAATTGGAATATTATTTTTTCATGCAAGTGGCAATTCTGAAATTTGACAGCTGTCATCTCTGTTTATTCCCATTATTAAAAATGGAGAGGTTTTCGAAAGACCAACGCGTTATAATTGTGAAAACTCGTTACAAAATTGGGGAAAGTTACGCTGAAACCGCTCGCAAACTGCGCCAAATTTTCAGCCGAGAAAGTGCACCCAATGTGTCAACCATTCAAAGAGTGGTTAAAAAATTTGAAGAAACTGGTTCAATTATGGATAATAAGAATCCTTTGCGTCAACGTACCGGTCGGTCTCTTGAAAACATTGCTGCTGTAAACGAGAGTGTTGCCGAAAACCCGAAAACATCAATTCGACATCGTTCTCAACAACTTCAAATTTCACGAAGTACTACGCAGCGAATTTTGACTAAAGACCTCCACCTTCATGCGTACAAGATTCAGTTAACTCAGGAGCTCAAACCAGCAGAAAGCGCTGGCAATTCGTTCAATGGGTAATGGAGCAAAGTGAAGTCGATACCAATTTTTCGGAAAAAGTTATTTTCTCCGATGAAGCGCATTTTCATTTGGATGGCTTCGTGAAAACACAAAATTGTCGAATTTGGGACTCAGAAAATCCTCATGCAATCCATGAGAAACAAATGCACCCACAACGAGTAACTGTCTGGTGCAGATTTTGGTCAGGCGGCGTGATTGGACCTTACTTTTTTGAAAATGAGGCCGAAATTGCAGTGACTGTGAACGGCATTCGTTACAGGAATATGATAACGGACTTCTTGTGGCCTCAACTAGACGGCATGGATCTGGACAACATGTGGTTTCAGCAGGACGGCGCAACCTGCCACACCGCGCATGAAACAATCGACTTATTACAGCAACGATTTCCAGAACACATTATCTCACGAAACTCTGATGTCAACTGGCCACCAAGATCGTGTGATTTAACGCCGTACGATTTTTTTCTTTGGGGTTTTGTGAAATCTCGGGTTTATGCGAATAAACCCGAAACAATTCCTGAGCTCAAATCGGAAATCCAACGCGTCATCGGTGAGATACAGCCACATCTCTGTGCAAAAGTCATGGAAAATTTCATGAAAAGAGTAATGGCCTGTCATCGGAGCCGTGGGGGTCATTTGCCGGATATTTTATTCCATACTTAATCGGAACATGTCTTCTTTACAATACAATAAAAATATCACAACTCTGTCATAAAATACTTGTTTTTATTTTAAAATGAAAAAGTGTACTCTTACTGAGACACCCGGTATAATCATAGTGTATCATTTAGAGAATATGTATAAAAATATTCCAAAATGTTTTAAGAGTGTGTTGTACAGCCAAGTTTTTATATTTAAGAAACAAAATTAAGAATGCCTCTAATAAAATTAAAATGATTTAGAGCATAATCAATAGTGACACTGGCAAGATGAAACTACACAACTCAAACTTTCAATTAAATTTTAACAATAGTTTGACAAAATCAGATCAAGACATTGCAACGATTATTGAACAATATTTTACCGACATTCTGATCTTGACTACAAAGTCACTTAATTCCTCCCTTGTTGTCACCAAGTCATTACTCAAATAAAATGTAAATGTCTGTTAAAATAGAATTTGCATTTCATTGAATATTATCAGGTGATATTGAAAAATATTTCATAACTATCGATATTAATAAAACAGAATATCTATGGGGGATTTCTGTTGAAGTAATTGCGACTATAATAGATGCGATCGCACCCCAACTTGCTTTTATTTCAATGTTAGTATTGAATCTAGTATGTTTCCTGATTTAATAAAACATAGTAAATTTATACCTTTATTTAAATGTGGTAGTACATTGGATCCAACTAATTTTAGACCTACTTCTATAGTGCCAACGCACAGTAAAATTTTTGAAAAAATATTCTACATCAAATGTTAAGTTTTATTAATGTAAATTACTCTATAACAATTAGTTTGGATTTACAAGGGTCGTTCGATAACTGATACCTGTGTTGAGCTAATCAAACATATTTTCTGAAGCTCTCAACGGTGTTAACCATGACACATTAATCAGGAAGCTAAATCATTATGATGTAAAATACATAGCGCTTAAACTTATTATGTCATATTTAAATAATAGAACGCAAACAGTTGTTATTAATGGATGCAGTTCTTCCGAATGGATCGGTAGTATATATGGGTTTTCCTCAGGGCTTAGTTCTTGGTCCCTTTCTTTTTTTTAATAGGAGAGGGGGCAAACGAGCATGCGGTTCACATGATGGTAAGTGACTAACGCCGCCCATGAACAACTGCAACACCAGGGGAATCGCAGATGCGTTGCCGGCCTTTTAAAAAGGTGTAGGCTCTTTTCTTGAAGGTCCCTAAGTCGTATCGGTCCGGAAAAATCGCTGGTGGTAAACTATTCCACAAGGAAGTTGTGCGAGGAAGAAAACATCTTCTAAATTGCACAATGGTGGACCGCCAATCATCCAGATGGTGTGGATGATATCGGGAGTTCTGCTGCGATGTGTGTTCGTGAAATTTGGCGGCTGGGATTAATCCGAACAATTCCTCAGAGCACTCCCCGTGGTAAATGCGAAAGAAAATGCAAAGAGATGCAACATCTCTTCGCAGTGCCAATGAGTCGAGCCAATCGGAAAGGACTTGGTCGTCGACGATTCGAGCCGCTCTGCGCTGGATGCGGTCAAGTGGAAGGAGCTGGCACTGGGGAGCCCCAGCCCAGAGATAGGAACAGTATTCCATGTGAGGCCGAACCTGCGCCTTGTAAAGTTGCAGGCGTTGAGCTGGCATGAAATACTGTCCCGCTCTGCTGAGCACGCCAAGATTTTTAGAGGCCAATTTGGCCTTCTCTTCCAAGTGACCACGAAACTGCACGTCACTCGATATGTCGACGCCGAGGATTCCGAGACTGGCTGAGGCAACAAGGGGAGTACCTTGTTGCCTCAGCCAGTTTCTGTTCTCGGTTTAAAAATTAATGACTTACATTACTTGATAGGGAATAACTATAATCTAATATTATTTTTTGATGATACTATGTTGATTTTTCGACTAAAAAGGTAATCTCTGAAATATGACAAAGTGAATAATGCTATATCAAAAGTAGTACACTGTACACTGGTTTAACGTTAATAATTTGCTTTTGAACGGTAATTGAACAAAATGTATTAAATTCATTACAATCAATGTTAAACAGGTGAATACTTATGTGCTTTTAACCCTTATGTTCATACCCGAGTACCCGGGTGCCCACTACGATGTATTTTCGTGATAAAAACTGACAAATAATAAAAAAACATTTTTGATCTTCCGGATCCTTGTTATTAAGGTGAAAAGCAAATAAATCATGTATTTAATTTTTTTTCATTGGCTTAAACTTGAGCCATCGCATCATGCGCACCCGGGTACCCGGGTACCCACAACAGTATTTGTATGAAATACGTTAGAAATTAATTTTGTTCAGTGATGATAATTGATTTTATTACTAAAACGGGCAAACACAACACATGTTTATGTACAAATAATATTATTTATTGCATTCTATACATTTTACAACATGAGCTGCTCATCGCAAACCGGTCGGTTCACATTCACTGCAGCTCTTCCGCGTTTTTCGTCGTCTTTTTATTGTCATTTTGTAACATAAGCAACAGGATCCAGTAATTTTCTTACTTCAGGTTTTTTCCGTTGCAAGCGATGGACCAGAGTCTTCCGTTACCCTTGTTATTTCACGACCTATGATACTCTCAATAGCAAGGATTCGTCATACGTTTTTCAATCATTGGCTTGGCAAGTTCTTCACTGAGTTTGCGTAAAAACAGACGTCGTTCCACTGTTTTCTTTTTAATTATTTTATTATTTTCATAATAAATTAGATATACCGCGAGTGCAGCGATGTCTAATATGTTGAAGAACATTGTGATTGGCCATCTTGAACAGCGCCGCTGATTTGTATATCTTCTGATCATTTGGTCCATAATGTCAAGCCAGTTTTGTTTTTATTACAATAACTAATGATATCAGGCTTCTTTCTTCTTTGAATCATCACCCAAAGACATATCCAAACGCATTGTCGATATCAGAATTACTGCTTTATTTTTTTTAGGTACGTAAGAACACATCGTTACTTTGTCGTGAAATCCAAAAACTGTCGAGTATTGCTCTCGTGACTTATTTGCTGCCAAAGGAAGAAGGTAGCTAACATTGCCTCCAATACGCTGTAGAAACGGCGAAAATTGACCATGATATTCTTATCTATGAAGGGAGCAGTAACTGTGCTACGAACAATTGAAATAGTGGCTACTACCTGAGGTGCCCTTAACTTATTTTTCATGTTAAATACGTTTATACAGCATTTTCTGTTTTAAAAATCTCTTAAATACTCAATAACAACGAATATTATAAAGAAAAAATATTCTAAACACTTTTTGTTAGTCAACATGTTAAAAAATTAAAAATATCATGAAATGTGTACCCGGGTACCGCGGGTGCCAAACGACGTTAGTAAGTTTGGGTATGAACATAAGGGTTAAACGGGGAGGAGTTTTTCTCGGAATAACAGTTGACGCGAAGCTTCAATGGGGTCCTCATAATTTTAAACTAGCTAGCAAACTTAGTTCTGCAGTATATGCTGTAAAAATATTAGATGCCTTACATTTTTTTTAGGAATAAGGTGACAAACGAGCACACAGTCCATCTGATAGTAAGTGGTTGCTGTGACCCTTAGACATCTGCATTTATCCTCGTTTGCGAATCAAAATGCAGATGCGTTGTCACCCGTGAGGACTAAATTGGAATGCCTCTTTTCCAGTAAAAACGGTCTCCAGTTCTCAACACTCACCATACGAATCACATCAGTGTTAAACTGCCATTTTACGCTGGTATTCTGTGAGAGCCTGGTCCTTCCCCGGTCGAGCCGATCCATTCGTGCTACAACTATGCTACTAATATAGCCATAGTATGGCTCTATCGCGTACAAAACATGTGTTGAAACAGCTAGATTAGTTTATTTTGGTTATTTCCATAGCATGATGTAATATGGAATCTTGCTATGGGGTAATGTGACTGACATTGAAACTATCTTTGTTTTGCAAATAAGAGCCATAGGAGCAATTTATACCCTATGTCCAAAGGAATCGCTTAGAAAAAGATTAAATTAATAAATATATTAATTTTGGCCTCTCATATATTTACGAGAATTTAATAATAAAACAACAAAAAAAAATATATTTATTAAAAATAGTGATGTGCATTTTGTAAATACCAGGAAAAAGTACAATTTCTTTATATCAGTTTCTCGACTCCAAAGAGTCAGTTAACTCCTTCAGGGGGCAATGTATACACATCTACAACAAAGTTCCAGGAAATATGCTGACCTTTTCTATCAAAAGTTTTAAATTATTTACTAAGCAAAAATTGTCTAGTAAAGTTTATTCTACTACTAAAGAGTACATGACTAATAATGATCCCTGGTAATGAGGTGATCGCTACCATGTTGTTTCTAAATATTTTCATAACAATTCTATAAACGATTACATTGTAAATTGTACTTTTTTATTTAAAATCCCGCTTGGTTTCTTGCTGGTTCTTTTCAGGATAGAAGGTTTTTTTGCAAACCAGTGGTAAATCTAAAAAATGACTTTCAATAAGTATTATGTTTTGTAATCGATATTGAATAAAAACGATTCTATTCTATTCTGGTTTCAATAAGACGACAAAACTGGCAATACTGTACGGGAAACATTGAATTGAAAAACGGGAAACGGCTCCGTGGCGCAGTGGCTTAGCAATGAGTTGCTGCGCTGGGGCCGCGGGTTCGAATCCCGCACGGAACAAGTATTTGTATGGCCTACAAATAATTGTTCCGGGTCTGGATGTTTGTCCTTGTGAAATTTGTGTTTGTAAACTGCCTCCACGATACAGGAGAAAATCCTTGTGTGGGGGTAATGTTTAAAAAAAAATAAAAAAATTATTGGATTTCAAGTTCCAGGGCTTCCACATCTCGCGTGGTGGTGACATGAATTGGCATCCGAGATCCTGTGACCTAACACTAGTAGATACATGTAATCTCTGGTTTATGCAGACAAATCACCGAAAATTTCCTTCTTGAAAGCCAACATAACTCGCGAAATTGAATCCTATTTATGCGAAAATA